AAATGTCTGCTGCTGCAAGGAATCAGTTGGGCTGCGGCAGCCCGTGCGGTACAACGCAAAGTTCCCGCTGAAGGCGCGCCAACCAACAGAGCGGCGGCACACAACACCATTGAAAGCAACTCGAGTCGTCCTACTAGACATGACTGCAAAAAAAAAAAAAAAAAAAAAAAAAAAGGAGGGCCGAAAATCACGTAAGAGGAAAAAATAGAGAAGATACAAGAAGCCCAGGCAAAAAAAAAAAAAAAAAAAGGATTTTTAGGAATGACACAAAATCAGGAATGTAGAGAACATGGCAGAATCACACACACACACACGCATAAACAAACAGATGCAGAGAGACACAAATACACTCCCCCCATCCCTTTCAACCCTCACCCCTACAAAAGGATCATAATATTGAGAAAACAACAACAACAACAACAACACTGCACCGTCACTCTCAAAACAACAGTAATAAAACACAAACCGCTTTTGATTATAAATGTCGACTAAATAAAGAGAAATGTTCTCAAGAAGAGATACAACGACAATAAAGCAACAAAGCACACACACACACACACTCTCTCTCTCTCTCTCAAAAAAAAAAAAAAAAAATCTGTTCGGTTTTTTCTTCCTCCTCTTTTCTCTCTCAAAGAAGAAAAGGGACACAAACCCATCGGTATGTATATATATATATATCGTCATCTTACACACTCTTTCTCTCTCTATTCTTCATTTTTTAAAATTATCAAAGCACAAGAGACGTCACTTGAGAAAAAACACATGCATGCATGCACACATGTATTATTACGGTTGCATATTAAAATACTCTACGATTTTCCTCGCTTTTGCTCTTCCGTCATTATTTTAAACATTTCATTGCAATGCATTCTTTCCGCCTTCTTTTTGTCGTTGTCGTTGTTTTTCTCTTCTGTGAGAAGATGGGAAACAAAATGGAAGAAAAGAGGTTGAAACAATGTCTATTCCTCTGCACCAACAGAGAGGGGCCTACCGTTTTGACTTTTGCTGCAGCCATTCTTGCTATCAATCTCCCCATCGCTGACGTCATCGGTATCCTTCTTATCTTCATGTGACCATTGATTAAGAAACAGCAATTGTGCTTGTACGGTGGGCGGCAAATTATCTCGCTGATTGGTGTCTTGAAATGGGGCTTGCCATAGATTGCCAAAGGCTGTAAGAACAGACTTCACATTCAGTGCGTAGTGGCCAATCTCCTCCAGCGACTGACTGATGCCGTCCTCATCGCTACCCAACACAACATCCGTGCCAACACGGACGTTCTCCTTCTCTCTGTCTGATTCCACATTCTCCAGAGTATTTTGGACAGACTGCATATCGGCCTTTCCTTCCGGGAGGAGGCGTCGGTGTTGCTTGAGCCACAACACACCCGGAAGCCCTGCAATGTCTTCCTCAGCTCCTTTTCCGGATTTCGTCTGGTTCCCCTCCTCCTCCCGTAATGCAAAACGCACATATTCTTGAAGTTCTGCGTCCTGTTCATCCCCTTGGTAAGAGAACTCCGTCTCCGACGACTTGGACGCCGTTGACCCTGTCGAAAGAACATGATGACTGCGTTTCATTGGACTGGTCTGGACCGCGGCACCACCGACACCCGAATCCGCAGTTTTTATACAACTCTTCATACTTGCATTTACCGACTCCAAGTCCAACGTGGTCTTCGGCATCGGCTCATCTAACATCAACTGGCGAACCGGCGAACGCGATGCGGACGTGGCCCGAGACAAGGACTCGGTGCTCGGGTACGTGATATCCCACACACCCACGGCATCTCTTGCTCGTCCATTCTCGGCACCTTTGCTCGTCCGCGGTGACGACGGTGACCCCGGCAGCCTACTCAGCTTCACGGGTGAAATAACAGGGGAGGGATTCACGCGAAACATTGGATTTTGCAATTGTTGGTGTTGCTCCTTATGCTCCGGCGGGGAATTTTCCAGAGCCATTGCCTCAACTGCTTCGCGTTGTTGTTGTTGTTGCTGCTCCTGCTGTTGTTGCTCTTGTTGCTGTTGCTGCGTTTTTGGTGGTGGTGAGAAATTGTCCACAGTCTCCTTGCCACTATGGGGAACCTCCGTGTTTCTGGGCGATGTTGTCAATGGGGCCGCTTTTCGTTTTGGTTTTTGTGTCTCCTTCCTCCCTTGGTGTTTCTTCCGAGTTTTCGTCGCTGCTGCCGTCCCATCTTGTCTGGCTTCACCTTTGCCAGGGTCCGCAGCGGATCGATGTCCGATAACTTCTTCCATTACGGCAAGGCGATGGTGTGAATGTTCATTCATCCTCCCCGCGACCGCTGTTTTTTTCCGTGATGGAATGTCCAACACGACATACCGCGCCTCCCCTTCCTCACGCTTATTTTCTCGCTCCCCTTCCATGACGGTTGAGGCAAAGAAATGAGAGGCGGCGATATCTCCAGCGGCTTCACGGACGGTGTTTTTGCCCTTGTGGTTGTTGCCCTTGCGTGCATTCCCCATGGGATCAGGCTCGTTAGGCATGGCTGCAGACCCGCGCGTAGAATTTCCTTGCGGAATGAAGACACCCACAGAAAACTCATGTTTACTCGGCGCCCTAGATTCTTCACGCGTCTTTTCGGTCGTGAGTAAAGAGTGGCCGCTCTGAACGGAAGTGGTGTGCAGCTGCATCAATTGATCTCTTGTCTCATGCTCTTCCTGAGCAATAAGCAAACGTTCGTGGTTCTCATCACTGCAAAGGATAAAAAAAGGGTTATCAAAAAGCCGCGTCATTTCCTGTGCAGCCGCATCAGAAAACAAAGAAGATGAAGTAAAATTCGTTTGAGGCCTGGCGATGGCATCTTCATCTTGACTAAGCCTCTTTTCACCGCCACTTGTGCCGCCGGCAGATCTTTGAGTCGGTGACAACGTGTCCACTGAGAGCAACACTGGCCGCTTGTTCTTGGCGGAGAGAGAAGGGGACTGCGTATCACTGTTACCAGAAACATTAGGTAGAAAATTCTGAGAACTATTGAGGCTGTGGTGGTGTAGGATGGAGGTGATCATAATATTACTGTTAAAATGACGTTTTAATGAAGACGTGGCATCCACATCAAATCCCACACCCGATGTCGCCATAGCAGTGAGTTTAGTTGGAATTTCTATGCGGTTTTTCTGCCATTCACTATGACTGTTTCTATTGGATTCAAAAGGTCGAGACCGTGGCCGTGTAAACAAAAGGGGAGTACCTCGAGCTAATATATGGCGCTCATTCATCCATACCGTACGCTCTCTCTCAATGTCTTCGTTTTCCAATGATACACTTTCCTGTGATGACATGCGTTGCTGTTGCGAGTGTTGCTGTCTCATACTGCGCGCTCGACTCACGGATAGCAAAGGCACAGTAGCTGCAACCGGTCTCATACCACCCACGTGTTCCTCGTCACGGCGAGAAGCCATTCGTGCCTGTTCGCGCAGCCATACTACCTGAATACGGCGTACTTGTTCCTCATGTCTTTTCTTCCATGAAACGTGACCCTCGTACAAAAGATGCTCATCCTGTGGCCGTACAATACTGCGAGACCATTCTTCTGTTACAACAGGTCCTGCCGTACGATACTTGCTCACAGATGGACTAATATCCCTGTATGAATCATGATAGCTACTCGCAACACTGAATTCAGTCGAGGGTATTGCCCCAACATTCCATGTTCGAGAAAGGGGCGAGGTAGGGCTCGTGTTTCCTTTACTATTGATGTTGTCTACAAACGGGGCATTCGGCGAGACCGCTCGTCGGCCGGTGGGATACACCGCCTTGCGGGTTCGTGGGGAAAGAGATATCTGCAACTGTGTCTGCATGGCCTTTTCACCCCGTAAGTCCTGGGCTTGGAGTAGCCTGGGCGGCGAATGATTCTCCCTTGCATTGAGAGAAAAGCACTCCTCCAGCAGATGCGAGTTCAGCTCTGGCACACTCTTCAGCCGTTTTTCTTTCGTCTGCACTCCACCATTGAAGTTATCACCATCCATTTCAAGTGGCTTCTGCGGTGGTGGGGAAGGCGACGTTGACAACTTCCGCTGGATCTTCTTCCCTGTTTGTTTCCGCAAAATTGCACCTCTCGTGCGGGTGCAGACCGAACCGCTGGACGACGCCCGCCCTTCATTGCGTGTAGATGCGGCTTTTATCCCAGCGTGACCCGAGACGGCATTGCGAAAAGGCATCCGTCCTCACGTCTGCCTACCCAACAGTTCCGGTCCTCCTCCCCCCTATTGGCGTCCTCTGAGGGAGTATAACGCTCTCGTTATAAATACTGCCCGTGTTGTCCTCGGCGTTTCAGTCACGTCGCAATCGTATTTTCGCTCCACTAAGGAAAAATAGAATGAGCGTCAAAAGTAACACTCTCTTTATCTATTTATTTATTATTAGAAAAAAATTACAATAAATATATGTTTATTCTGGGAACGAATGCACCACAAGTTAATAGAAGAAGCAAAAGTCTTCGTATTTCCAGTTCTCCCCGGAACTGGTGAGAGGAACGCTCTCTGTTTGTGTGCTTGTGTGTGTGTATACAAGTATTCTATGAAGTTTAATAATGGCTTGCGTACGTGCATATGCACAGGAGGAGAGGGAGAAAGGAAAAAAAAAAAAAAAGGAAGACAAATGGGGCAATGGTGATTGAGCTCCAATATGTACAAATCGCATATTTATGCAACGACAAGTGTAAGGCGGTTCATATCCTCCTCTTCCTTGCGTGCACACACACACACACACACACAAAGGTAAATAATAAATAAACATCGTTTACACTTAATTATTAATCCATCAAAAACAGTAATCATGCATGATTCCTTCTTCATTGGGCGTTCATTCATTTTTAAACGTACTTCACTTTCTGTTTTTGATTTCCCACCGTAACTTTTTTTTTGTTTGCTTTTAATCGGCTTGTGAAAATCACAGGATTACCGGCACGTGCAACGTCCGATCCAACACAAAAATTGCCCTTCAAAAAACGTGGCTTTGAGTTAAACTTCTTTTTTTTTTTTTTTTTACTTTTCTCTCCTCCGTCGCGCCTTTAAAGGGGTCGCGTCATCACCGCCACTGTGACTGCGCTTGCGGACTGTTTGAATGGTGTCACGCCTCGTCGTTTTCTCCTTCCGCGCGGTCCTCACGGCTGTCATCGCTGCCGTCAGGGTGAAGAGAACTTCGTCCACCGTAACCGCATCCCCATCCACATCGCCGGTGGTGGTCGTCGCTGCCGTCTCTTTTCCCCAAACGTTGGCCTCGTCTCTCCTCGTTTTGTTTTTCTCCAGGCGTTTCCGTTTCTTTGTTGTTGTTGTTGTTGTTGTTTTAAAATCCCCGCCAAAGTGGACGTGGTGTCTCTCCAGCTGCTCCCGCACCATCGTGGAGGCCTGCGCTGCCAACGAACTCAGTTTCTCTGAGCGTTCCCCGCAGTGCATCGCCACGGTAAGTGTGGGGACTATCGTGTCCCGCACAAAACGTAACCCCACGGCATTCCTTGCAAGCCAACACACCGCCCGTTTCACGGGGCCAGTCGCACCAGAGGCTTCTCGAGATGTCACTTTCCCATCCGGCTCATTCCTGTCGTCGCCCTCTTCTTCCTTCCTACCGTTGATGGTGTTATCTGTCTCCGCGTCGATTGGCAAAGCTGCAAGGAAACCGCCAAAGTACTGCACAAGAGATGTGGTGCGGACCATCACGTTGGCCACTCCGCCATTTTTGATAAGAGGCTTCACTAACGAGTGGAGCTGGTGGCGGAGAGAGGTGAAGTGCTGCGCAATGATGTCCTGAACGTACGACATCTCCGAACCGGCGCAAAAGACCGCCACCTTGAGAAGCACCATGCTAACAACAAACATTGCACGGGAGATGTATAAGGCCACGTTCACCGCGTCTGTCCTCGACGGCTGCTGCATGGCCCGGTGGGCGTTGTACTTCTCGTTCGGTACATCGGAAAGCGCGATGAATTGCAACAACGTACGCATCGCAGCGGCCATTTGATCCAGGACGTTCAACGCCCGATGGACTGTATCCGGCGGACCCAGTGATTCATGGAAATAGACCACATACGGGGGGATGCATCCATCATCTTTATCATCTTCATGACTGTGGGAGACCACGGGGGACGATGCCCGCTGCGTGGCGTGAAAATTTCCACCCATGCCACTTTTCCTTCTCTTCCCCTTCTTATGATTCTTCTTGGAGGTGACTACAAGATACCCCGCAGCCACCCAGTCTATCCCACGCAAGTACCCGCACCGCCTCTCCACCCCGTCATGGCAGTACATCCGCAAAAGTCGCAACGCCACCGACTGAATCCAAGGGTGTGAGTGCAGCACGAGACGGCCCGAAAGAAAAGGCACAAGATGTGGGGCAACGGACATATTATGCCACACCTGCACAGGGGCCACCATCGCAATTCCCTCCAGGCATCGGAGACCAAAGAAGACATAGGTCCAACTCTTCAGCTCCAATTTTCTTTTAAATGCTGCAGTGAGTTCTTCATATTTGCGCTTCGTTCCAAATGTCGCCACCTGGTCAAACGTTGCCGCATCGAGCAACGCCTGGAGTGACCAGGACCAACACGCCTCAAACTCACATGCGTCCTCATCGACGCTCATGTCATATGATGCAGCAACGGCAGGAATCATAACGGCCCATGTCTGCAGCGCCATGGCTCTGCGGGGGCGTGTCTGGCCTGACGCAAGCCACTGCGACAGTGTAGGCACAATCACATCCACACCGGCATTTTTCACTAAGCTCTGCAGCACATCTCCGGCCTTCTGTCGTGCCTCATAAAACTCTGAGACGGCAAGTGTGACGGCAAGTGGAATGAGCAGTAGCGGCGCCTCTTGTCGCAGGACGGCAGTTGGCAAGCGGTAGACAAGTACACCAAGTAGCTCGAGTATCGCAATGCGTCCTGTAACCTCGGGGTAGTCAAGATTGCGGCAAAAAAGATCCATATGCGAACGAAACTTTTCTGGGGTTATGCGATACTCTGTCAGGAAACGCGCAAGAACGGCTATACAGCGTTGCCGCAACAAACGTTTTGCACTTGTGTGCATCATCAGTTCCGTCACCACCCCAATGAGATCGTACACCTCCACCACATGGATGTGTTTGCCAAGTACTGCATGAAATAAGGATAACGCCATGGGAAGAAACTCGTTACGGTCGACAAGCTCAGTGCGACACAGTTGCAACAGTTGCGCTGCCTTTTCTTCGGTCAATATAAACCGCTGATGCGCCACCACCGCTGCCGCCACACGCATCGCACGCTGCTTAATTGCCCCACCACGTTCAAAGAAGGCAGTAACGGTCTCATACAGTGTTGTGTGGAGTGCCCCCACCGCATGCAGCGGCGGCCGCAGTGATACAAGAGCGAGCATGCAGTCCAACGCATGACCCACCACTGCGTCACATCCCTCACCTTGCAGGGTCGTGAGCACAACAGGGAGCAAACTTTCCAGAAGCTGTTGATGCTGACGTGTAAAGGAAGTCGTTAAATCAGCCATCGGCCGCCGCGTTTTATTTTTCTTCTCCACTTCTTGTACGTGACGCTTCGCCTTCTCCTTTTTCGTCGTCATTGGTTGTAATTGTTCGGACACCTCGCCCGCGTTTTTATCCCACTCCTCATTCTCCTGCTGTGCTGCTGTGGCAAAGCGATCCAATGCATCTCCCCTTTCGTCATCCAACGGCTGTGGGTCCAACAACAACAACGTGTCAGTTCCTTCTTCCTCCCCTTCCTCATCGCTGCTGCTGTCGCCACCCTTTTCTTCCTCCTCCTCCTCCTCATTCTCCTCCTTTCCGCCACGTTCCCGCAGTTCCTCTGGTAAATCATCATCATCATCATCTTCGTCTTGGCAGCTGTTTTCCCCTTTCCTATTCTTATTCTTCTTCCGTTGGGCGCGTAACAAGTCAAGGCGAACGGCTGCCGTCGTGTATTTCCGTTCTTTCCCAATGCCAAGCACGTGCTTCAGCACACTTAGAAGGTATTTCAATAGGAACTCATCCAGCGTGTCGAGCACCACCGCAGTTGCGGGATCCTCGCGGTAAAAATTCTTCGCTGCCTGCTGCACCTCCTTCCCGTAGCGTCCACGGTAGGCGCGGAGTTTTTGCCGCTGCTGTGTCGCAAGCACTGTGTGGGCGCTGAAGTCCACATCCACCCGTTCCGGAAGCTGATCCACAAGAAAGTTTGAATCGAGCTGATCCTTTCGCGTCGCCGTGGGGGCGCGTTGAATCGTCAGGTGCACATTGCCACGAATGCGGCGGGTGCCATCCTTCGCCTCAAAGGTCTTA